CATCTATTTATAACCTGCTCCTATATTCCCCCAAATTCCGATATCTCCATATACAGGAAACACGCTTCCCTCATTTGTGAAGTGGCCAAGCGGTCTAGACCCACTGATTTGGTCGTTGCATTGGGTGACTTCAATTTGCCTCAAGTCACTTGGTGTAGCAGTGATAATTCTGGCTGTTTGGTTCCTATTTCAACGTCTGATAGGGCGGTTGTGTTCTTTAGTGAATTGTTTGATCATAATTTGGGTCAATATAATCGTACCCCTAATTGTAATGGTAGACTGCTTGATCTCTGCTTTGCCAATTTTCCTGAGATTAACGTAAATCGTTGTCCACCTTTTAGTTTACCTGAGGATCCTTATCATCCATCAATATGCATTTCCTTTCATCATATGAATGATGGTTTGTTGAAATGCCTTAATGTGCCAAATCAAACTTTTTTAAATATATATTATGATTTTCATAAAACCAATATTGTATTGCTAAAACATTGTATTTCACATTTGAGGCTTGATTTCTCAACCGGTATTGAAAGCATTGAAAGCTTATTGTCATCGTTCTACAATACATTAAATCTAGCTATTGCTGCATCTGTTCCGATCAAGCATTGTCGACCTCGAAGCAGGTGTCCCCCGTGGTTTAATAAGACAATTAAATATCACAAGAATAGAAAAAATTCGCTATTCAAAAAATATTCGAAAAGTGGCTCTGCGCTCGACTATGCCGCTTACTCGGTGGCGATGCATAGATTTAACTCCCTCAACCATCATTATTACCGCAGATACCTTCAGTTCATTAAATCCTCTCTGCTTGCTAATCCTAAATTCTTCTTTAAATTTGTTAACTCTAAAAGAAAAATTTTCACATATCCCTCTCATTTTTCTTTTAATGGCTCTGATTCCTCGGATGATTTCGAAATCTCAAATCTATTTGCTGAGTATTTCCGACGAAACTTTTCGATTGCTAATTTCGATTTATCATCAAACTACCCATATCCTATAACTAACTCGGTTTCAATACCTAACTTGGTTATTTCGGAAGATGATGTTTTTAAAGGGTTGAGTTCTCTAAAATACAGTTGTTCGCCTGGACTTGATGCAATTCCATCATGTGTACTTAAATCTTGCGCTGTCGAGTTATGTGGTGTGATCTCAAAGATTTTTAACATGTCCTTGTATATAACTGTTTTCCCTTCATGTTGGAAGAGTAGTTTCCTTATTCCTATCCACAAGTTGGAAGTAGACAATTTGTTGAGAACTACAGAGGCATAGCCAATTTGAGTGTCTTGCCCAAGTTGTTCGAGCGTATTGTGACTCAGCATTTGGCCTTTGCCATTAATTCGTATATTTCTCCGCACCAGCACGGCTTTCGGAAAGGGCGATCTACAGTCACCAACTTGTTAGAGTTTACCTGTCATGTTTTCAAGGCTTTTTCTAGCGGCTCTCGCACAGATGTTATTTACACTGATTTGAGCAAAGCATGTGATATGGTTAACCATAGACTACTTATCTTTAAACTCCAAGCCTCTGGTTTCCCACCCTACTTAGTGAAATGGATAAGCTCTTATCTGCACAATAGATCCTTCAGGGTTTTGTTTAACTCCATCACCTCGGATGAATTCCCCGTTACGTCTGGCGTACCTCAAGGAAGTCACTTAGGTACTATTTTATTTAGTTTATACATTAACGATCTCCCATCGGTGGTTAATTCCAGCCAGATCTTAATGTATGCTGATGATGTGAAACTGTTTTCTTCCTTCTCTGTTGAATCGCAATCACATCAGCTTCAAGGTGATTTGGATAATTTTGTTGCATGGTGCTCTTTGAATCTTCTGAAACTAAATCTGAGTAAATGTAAGAAGCTTTCTGTCTCAAGAAGAAAGTCATTCATTACTCAGTATTTCATAGATTCGCATAAGTTGGAGGACGTCGATTCGATTACAGATTTAGGCATCTATTTGACCATAGGTTACGTTTTAACTTGCACATTGAGCTCTCGTTAAGGAGAGCTAGGTCCGCGCTTGGTTTTATAAAAAGGTGGTCCAAAGAGCTTGATGACCCCTACATTACGAAAAGGCTGTACATGTGTTTGGTTAGAACCATACTCGAGTATGCCTCAGTTGTGTGGTCTCCTTCATATAGGTGCTACGTAGATTCAATTGAACTTGTTCAAAAGCAATTCTTGCTGTTTGGCCTTAGAAATTTGGGTTGGGATCCGATTGCCTCTCTTCCTCCATATGAAAATAGGTTGCTTCTGCTGTCCCTACCGTCTCTTGAGAAACGTAGATTTGTTCTTGGCGTTTCCTTTCTAATTAAAGTAATAAATGGTGCTATTGACTCGCCTTCATTACTTGGTGAAATAAGCTTTAATGTCCCTAACCGCTTCTCTAGGCACTTTATCTTGGTTAAGCTTAATCAGTGTAAATTTAATTATGAGCTGTTCAATCCGCTCAGAGTCGTTTGCAAGAACCTAAATGACGTCTACCACTTATTCTCGTTATCGGACTCTTTAAAGTCTATTAAAGCAACATTGCTTAATACGCACGATTTACCTATGTCATATTTAAACTAGCTTTTATCCTTAAAAAGTCGTTACGTTTCGGAAGTGAATTATTGTCAATTTATTATCGGTTGCCAGGCTTATGCATGTTTGCGATGGCTTAGGGGTTCATTTGCAATTTGGTCCTGTACCGGTTGTAAGTGTGCTCCTATGCTGATAGTGTACATGCTTTTTTTTCCTTTTTTCTTTTTCTTCTTATTTGTTTTATTATGCTTATACTCAATTTTATTGTTAAGTAACATAAGTATTGCATTAAGAGCCAATTGCACTCGACTGTTATTTGTTTAGTTGAGTTTCTAGTATAAGTGGAATAAATAAAATAGATGAGACGTATTCCCTGGTTATGGGCACCAGAAATACCCGAACTATACTCTCATGTATCAATACAAAATATCATATCTCAATACAAAAAGACGCAGTACTACTAAGTGAAGAAATGACAAAAGAGATATTTGTAGCTACCACTACAATACCTAAAGAAACAAGAAAGCCTATAAAATGCTAAACACATTACACACAAATATCACACTTCAAAATTTATTAATAAACACAAAGCTAATTGATAACTACCAAATGGTACAGAATGCTGTAACACGTTACACAGATGACTATTTCAAGACATACGAAACACAAAACAACACAAACACATGAGCAAGCACTATATTACATTTTTAAAATGTATTAATTCGTATTTTGCTTGAAAAACGAAGCAATAAGTACAAGCAACTTCAGCAAGCAAAACCTTATTATCAATGACAACATGCCTACATACAGAAAAAAGTACTAAATACGTAGATGGATTCAATAGACACGCAGGTACGAGCTCTTTTAAAGCAAAACATTGTAAAATCGTACTTAACACTGTATAACTCGTTCCTAATGCGGATTCTTAAGAAGGAACAAACAAACCAAGACAAATGGAGACTAGCAGTAGACTATAAAAAATTCAACGCAAAAGCAGTCAGCGACAAGTCTCCACTAACTAAACTAGAGGACATATTAGATAAATTAGGAAGAGCGCAACACTTTGCATAAAAAAGTGAGAAATTCGAAGAAAGAAAAATTGAAAGAAAAATTGAAACCAATTGAAGAGTACCACAACGACTGCCACATGAATTTTTAGGAGCAAGAAAAACAGTAAAAAGCTAAGCCGAAGATTCGTGTGGAAATTTATATTCACATATATTCATACTATACGCAATATTTGTCAAATTGATAAAAAATTAAACATAATAAAGAATCACTGACAGTCACTGACACACTCTCTACAAGCTTCGAGATAGTTTCCCTAGACGCAGCGGGTTTATAAAAAATATTAATAATTAATTGTTAATTCAATATCTTATAAAATATTAAACTGTTGTTACTACGAACGCGTTTGTCGAAAACCTTAACATAGACTATGAAAAATAAAGAAAAAAAAAGGAAGAATATTATAGCCCGTCAAGATCGTTCATTAGATATACTAAACCATTTCGCTTGTGGAGTTTTTCACTCGCTTGAGGAATAATACAACAAAAATTACATATCATTTTCATGAAAAGGCATACTTTTCATGAAAGTCCGCGTATTGGGGGATGCTTAAATCATATGATCCAAATTTGAGTTAGTCCTCAAAAATTTTTTTGTTTTCCTTTTTCAGTAATAGCAAACTAGAAATTAAGCTTTCTCTTCACATGTATGCTAGTTTTTCATGATAATGTCCATATATACCAGAAATTTCTTGCGAGTTTTCACTATGAAATAAAGTAATTTTTTTATATAGGGTAAAAACTTTATTAAGTTACATATTTGCCATTTTGTTCAATTGAATTAAATAATGCTGGTATTACTATTGTTAGTTGATTTTATTTTGTGTTTTAATTTTTACTATGATTGTAATTCAGCAAGATCTAACTAATGAAGTCATTTGGTACATTTTGTGTACCGGCTGATGTTCAATATATCGATCGTCCAGCCTTTACACTTAATTAACCCTAAGATAGACATATTTTGCTTAGCTCACCTAAATGCAAGTCGATCCATATATATCATTATATATATCATAACTACTTATAGACATTAATGTTTGTGTTATATATTATATTCCTCCCCAATCTGCAGTTGTGGACAAACTCTCACTATAAAGCACATTCTCTGCGACTGCTTTAAGTTTTCCTTGGCTAGAAGTATTGCATTTGGAACGACTAACCCTTTGGACATTCTAAAATCAGCTTCCGAACCGAATATCAATTCTATATATTACTTTATTAATACTACTAAGCTCATTATCTAATGTACATTTATTTATATTAGAGCCGATAGCCTGTGCTGCTAGTGCTCAATGTCTTTTTGTTTTTAGTCTAAGAATTTATTTCATTAGTCTAAAATTATAATAATAATAATAATAATAATACTTATAGACATTATATTGTGTTATATATGTTTTAAAGAGAACTTAGAGTATGTAGCCAAATTGTGAGTTGTCGTTATTGCTTCGCGCACAAAATTAATAGGACTCCCAAGTTCAACTTGATTGCATAAGTTCCCATCACTGTCTGAGTCGTAGATGTGTTATTATTATTTTTGAATTCATATATATATTTTGTCTTTTTTTTAAAATTGATTGGTGCCAGATTAATATTAGCCTTCATACATCTTAAGGCCCGATAAATTTCGTCAACCAAAATCTTAGCGGCCTAAACTCAAAAATTCAATCTCCTTTTCTACGGAGCACGGAGTTTTCCTATTTGCCTTTCACTATAACCTGGTTAAAAACCTGATTAATATTCGTCGCAACTTTTCCACAATTCTTTCCAAATTTTCAGAAAGGATCGGTTAGATCACACTGGTGGTGGTTTTCATCGCAATATCTGCTGCAATCCTGTCCTCTTTATTCAAATGTCCCACTCCTACTGACGTTGAATTTATTGCCATTGGCGGTGAACAGTTATATGTAACTTGGGGATATCTCTATTTATAAGAAACTTTCTTTCCTCATTAGTGACGTGGCCAAAAAGTCTAAATCTACGGATATCGTTATAGCGTTTTTTATTTTTAGTTTGCAATGAGTAACTTGGTATTATAGTGATCATTCAGGCCCTGCTTCAACATTGGATAAAGCTGTTCTGTTTTCCAATGAATTATTTTGCCTTAATTTGCTTTAATATCACCGTACTTATAAGTGTAATGACAGATTATCTAATATTTGCTTTACCAATTTCCCGGAGATAGCTGTAAATTACTGTCTGCCTCTTACTTTACCTGAGGATCCGTGTCATCCAGCAATTTGCATTTACTTTCATTACAAGCACGTAAGCATTATGATTTTAACAAAACTAAATTTTACTGCTTAAATATCAGCTTTCACACATTATGCTTGATTTTTGTGTTGGAAATATAAACGTTATTGTCTTCGTTCTATAGTATATTACACTTAGCTGTTTCTGCATCCGTTGCGGTCAAACAGCCACGCCATCGAAGCAAGTGCGTGCCATGGTCTAACAGGGGGATTAAATAGTACAAAAATAGGAAAAAAGAAGTTTATTATCCGTATCTGATTACTAATTCGGTTTCGATTCCTAATTTGTGCATTTCAAAAAATGACGTTTTACATGGTTTGAGTTCTTTAAAATATAATTGTGCGTTTGGACATGATGGTATCCTACCTTTATACTTAAATCATGCTCTGTCGACCTATGTAGTGTTGTTTGAATGATTTCTATTCAGTCCTTGAAATTAAGTATTTTTCCTTTGTAATAGAGTAGTTCCTTTAGTCAAATTCATAAATGTGGAAATTAACATAATTTAGTACACTGCTTGAATTAGTAAACGATAACTTACCGATCTTCAAACTCTAGCCGTTTGGCTTCTCTTTGTACTTAGTGAAATGGATAAGCTCTTAGTTTCCAAGTCGGGTAATCCTGTTGCTTTCGAAAGCGGCAAGTTTTGGCGATATTCTGTAGCACTTTTATATCTAATTTGTACTTTGTTGATAATCTTCAAAAAAGTACAAATAATAATCAGCCAAGTATCTCAGTTTTTATATAAATTTTAGTACTGGCACTATTAGAAGTGTTTGTATTTTCATAGTTTGCTGCCGTACGTTGGTTTAGTAAACATTATCTGAGTAACTTGGTGCCTGAAATTATCAGTACTCACACCTTCTAGAAGCAATTGCGGAATCGAAACATTTTTTTGATTTTGCAGTAACAACAGTTACCGGGTTACAGTAGTCAGTGGCGCAGCAGCCAATTGAAAAATACGAATTTTTCATCACCGCAGAGACAAGAAACTTCCGTAGCAAAGATATCGGATCCGGGTGTGTTAAGATGTATTGTACACATCCCAGTTGCAAAATAGAGAACCTTGATGAAAGCATGTAGTATATCAACATTGCGATGTGCCCAACGCACCACAAATGTGCAGGGTTTGCTGGGTGGGTGTGTGATGTGATTATGGAGAGGGCAAAACTTTTGTCGTGGTCGTGCAAGGACTACAAAAGGATGGATATAAATCTTTACTTGTTACATTTGCGAACGAGGGCATTGTTTTTCAAAATTAATAAACCCTATAATGTGTTAACTAGTGCCTGCGAAGAGTTGAGTCTTTAACAACCGTAAATGGCTAGATTCATCTTCACCATTGGATAAACGCAAGGCTGCTAATCAGATCACTAGACTATTAAGTCAGCGAGCCATGCGTGGGTTAATGCGTCTTTCGGGTCTATTTTCGATATACCGACAACGAAGTCTAAGAATGCTGTGTTTCGGCTCGGTTTTCGATTTTTCGTTTACGTTTGATGGCACTAAATCGATGATGGTGGTGTCAGATGTGGGGTCGGAAGTGTGTTTTTCCTCCATCTGATGAATCTTTAAATAAGGCTTATTCGCCTGGATCGTCAGGCTCAGGTGGGATTATTGTTGGTCATTACGCTGGTTCGCGTTCAGTGGCAACATGAGGAGCTAAATTCAAGAAACGAGTAGCTACGAAGAATAATACCTTTGAAGCTGGGTGTAATGAAGTACTTGCAGGCAGAGAGGTGGAAATGGCAGTGATGGTGGTACAATCTCCGGTATTGTCAGTAAGAGTTCGGGAAAGCTGGATGATGCTCAGAATGCTAATATTGCCTCTCCACCCGTACTAGGCGCCAACGAGCAAATGAAGGATTATGTATGTACCTTGGAAGTGCCACGAAACTTTTCGGTGGGCACTGCCCTTGATTTGGATTCTTATCAATTGGAACCGGCAAGACATTCTATTTTTATATCGTGTTTATCATCCTGTACTCCCAAAGAACCGATTATAGATTTCTTAAGTAATAAGCCCTCAGAGAAAGATGCAAAGAAAAGCAGTGTTTTTAAGTTCAGTTTCGGACCTTAGAAAGATAATTTTTTTTTCAAAATTATTGCTCCGGCAGCTCTATACCCATTACGTCTGCCAAATTTTAGCATGAGGGTATCTTTATTAAAGAATTCTTACTACGTCAAAGGAATATCGCGCTGGTGATATTGGAGCAGTCAGTTCAGCAGACAAAAAAAGAATGGATAGTTGGCATTTGCGGCAAATATTGTATCAAACAGTCCGTGTTCCCAATACGAAACTACGCAATACGTTTGTAAATTCCGTTAACTCTGATTACCTTGTTGTAGCATTTGCAGAAGTCTGGTTCAAGCCGAGAACATTTGATGGTAAGATATTTTATTCGGAGTTTGGGATTTTTAGGTGCGGCAAATGGTTCAATTATGCATAACCGCTGGTTCCATTAACTACAGACGTATTTAAAAAGCTGCGGATTAGAAAGTTACCCAAGAATTCGATAGTAGACTTGACTGACTAGTGCCCATTAACTAATAGCAATACCAAAACGCTAACCTATAATATTACTCGGAGTTTGGGTGCGACAAATTGTTCAAAACTGATGGAAGAGTGTTAGTTGCGGTTAACCACTGCTTAGCCTAATCTATGGTTAGTCCTTCTTCTCCTACAACTGTTGAGTTTATGGGCGTTAGAATAAAACTGCATACCTGTAATGCATATATTACATGCTCTTGTATTCCTCCAGCGTTTGATATTGGTATTCAGTTAGAGCACTTGTTTTTATGCTGTAGATATTACACGTCGCCTCCAACCCGGTGATAAGTTAATAGTGCTATGCGATTTTACTTTGCCAATGTTTTGTATGTTCTTAGCGACGACCTTGGATGTTATATTCCCCTTTTTATATCCATTAATTTACAAAGAGTTTTTCGATGGTGTCCATGAGTTAGGTCTTTTTCAGCTTAAAAATATCTTTAACAATAATAATAATCTGCTTGATTTACTTTTTGCTGGGCTACTATTACATCTTTATTTCGAACTGAGCGCTTTGTTTCGTCTGAAGGTAAGCATCATTCGTCCTTGTTACAGGCCGTAAATTGTCTAGTTGGCAGTGGATTGTGTTATCAAGTGATTATTGATCATCGTTTATTTGCTAAAGTGAATTACGTCACACTTAGGAACTTGCTGGGTGGCACTGACTAGGTCCGACGCTTTGAAGATATCGATGATTCGTCATCTTTTGTTAGCAGTCAGATTTTTCCTGCAATTTTCGTCTCGATACAGCCAAGTCTGGTCACACCTCGTTTAATCCTCCTTTGTATATCGAGCATTTACGAATGGTCCGTAATAAAAAAGTAGGCTATATAAAAAATCCAGTCGTAGTGGTTTGATTAGTGATTATATAGAGCTAAAGGAGATTACAGCGCCGGGAAACTTGGTTTTCCAATATTGTTGATGCAACCAAGCACGAACTCCTTAAAACTCCTAAGGGCTTCGTTAAATTCGTGAATTCTAAACGAAAAGTAGAAGAATTTTCATCCATTACGAGCCTTGGAGATTTCAAATCATCCGAGGCGTCTGTAATAACTGACCTTTCTCTTGATTTTTTTGGTGAAGTCTACTGTGATAATTATTCGTGTTTGATAAGTTCGTTTGACACTTTTCCGTCTGTGAACTTCGCCAAAGAGAAAATATTTATAGTATTGTCAACATCGAAACTTTGTAACTGCCCTGCTCCTGATGTTGTTCCGTCTTGTTGCTCCGTATTCTACATCACTATGCTGATTTCTATTACTATGTTCTTCGCTTACACATATTTTTAATGTTTGTTTGAAAAAAGGTTACTTTTCATCGATTTGGAAGAGAAATTTTATTTTACCTCTTTATAAAAGTTGTTCGCGAAAACTTATTGAGAATTATACGGAAAATGCAAAACATAGTGCACTGCCCAAATATTTGAATCATTGGTACAAAAAGCCTTACTCCGATTTCAGGGTCAATTATATCGCACCGTCAGCAGTGTTTTTAAAAGGTAGATCAACCGCCACTGATCTTCTAAGTATACACTCAAAATTCACGTGTTTTAATATTTACTGACGATGTTAAACTTTTCATCTCCTTTGACAAGGTCCTAAAGTTCTTCAGTCTGAGCTTGAGAACCTGAGTTCATTTTGTGAAATCAATGGTATGGTGCCGAATTCAAAAAAATGTAAGAAAATGTCTTTCGCATGGTATAATATGTTCCTATCTTATTATCGTATTGACAGTCACATTCTGTAAACTCCAACGCAACGACTTACGAGTTGTTTTCGTCTAAAAACTCAAGTTTGATATTCTGATATTAAATGTTGGCAAAAATTTTGTTCAGTGAATTCTACAGATAAAAATGATAAAGAAATGAGAAATACCACTGTACATAACGGTGAAATTCGATAGTTCTGACCACCCTCTACATAAAATAATAGTTTTCCATTTAATAGTATTGATTGATTCAGCGTACACCGACGCTAATTATAGGACTCTCAAAATTGCATTATCGACATTCATTTTTCTTTCATTCGATTTGAAGATACCTGCTGCCGAACCCCACCAAGCACGGTCAGAAGCTTATGGTAATACTGCTATATAATATCCCAATTATTGGATTTAGTTTCAACGGTTAAAGTAGTAGTGGCTTTATTGTAAATGACAAAAACCTGCTTGGAGAACCCAAAAATTCAAGCACTAAGAATGCAAAATTGTTGGAGGAAAAACCAGCAAAACTTTCCAAGAACTTTTGAACAATTTAGCAGTTGACAGATCAATTGCTTCTAGAGATTTATATGCGATTTATTTGAGGCGAGATTTATATGAGGCGACCCAGTCGGAAAGAAAACGGCTGCCTCGCAAATTGACTGAAAATGCCATTTTGGACACTTGTTGCCGCAGTTATTCAGGACGCGCTGCTACAGCGCGAATGGGAAGTTCTGTCTCACCCGGCGCACTAACAAGACGTAGCACTTCTTGAATACCAATTGCTAAGATCGGTGCAGGATGGCTTGGATGGCACGCGGGTCCGCAAAGTTGAAGAAAGTTGGACGCAAATGAGTCGTTGAGTGAGTCGCTGAGAAACCAATATAAGCTCTTTCAACATAATATCGCCATATTCCCAAATATTAAGTTGGGGAAAAAGAAATACATTATTTTTTCGGTAGATGGCTGCACTGATAGATTGCTCGTAAAGTATCGATCAAACAATTTCAGATTTATGCTCGTTGGAAAGGTGACATTTCGCAGTAAAAAAAATTCTTTTGCTGTTTTTTGTTTGGTGCATTCAGTTGTGAGTTACAGCGTGTTAAAAATGGAAGTGAACAAAGAGAAAATTCGGTACATTTTACAGTTTTTCTTTGACAAAGGCGAAAATGCAAGCCAGGTGGCTAAAATTGTGAATGGTATTTATGGTTCCGATACTGTAACAGCCAATTATGTGCAATTTTGGTTTCGTAGATTCCGTTCAGGAATTTTTGATGGTAAAGATGCACCTCGCACAGGTAGGCCGGTCGTCGAAAATGTCGATAAAATCGGAGAAATGATCGAAGTTGACCGGCATGTTAGCAGTCGTAACATCGCCCAGGAGCTAAAAATCGACCATAAAGCAGTTTTAAACCATTTACACAAAGCTGGATTCAAAAAGAAGCTCGATGTTTGGGTGCCACACCAATTAACAGAAAAAAACATGATG